GCGATAGATAGTAGTCAACCGCCTGAGCAAACTGAGCATGTTAGTACACGTCCCACCGAAAGGAAATTCATGCCATAAAGGGAACTTACAACTTGTGCTTGGTTGGGCACATGGCGCCCGCTGTAGGGAGGATCTGGCTCCACGCAATATCGTAGTTGTTGAGACCAGATAATTTGAGTCCCTTGACGAGGTTCGTGCCGTACGCGGCAAGCGGGTCGTTCTTGTCCGCCTTGCCTGTGAAGAGGCCGCGAATGCCGAGCGTCGTTGCCAACTTGACGTTCGTCTCAATCACCTTTCCGAGCGTCTGCGACGCCTCGCGCGCAGCCTGCCGCAGCGGGAACGACTTGACGGGGTCCAAATCGAAGAAGATGCCGACAAAGATGACCGCCAGCAGCTGGTAGAGCTCCTGCTCCGAGAAGACGCCCTTGGGGTTGGCAGCCGTCTTGAGGGGCAAGTTGAAGACGCGCGACGCGAAGTGGACGTGCGTGATATTACCAACGTCACGGACGAGGTCGACGTGACGCCGGCGGGTGTTTCCGAGGGTATAGGACTTCTCTTGGAGAAGCTGCTCCGTGATGTCGGCGTAGAACTTACGCACGGCGGCGTGCCAGTCGGTTTTGTACAGTTGGCTCGCCATGCACTGCTTCTGACCGGCGTGGAAGTCGGTGTCGCCAGCGAGCATGAACTTGTGGCCGCCCTCATCCATCTGAGCTCCCAGACCTTCGTGCCATGTGACGCGGTACGCAGCCTTGTTCTCCAGCACGTGCTGGGCTCCGCCGTAGGAGGTAACGTTGACGCGCAGTGGCGTGAATGCAGGCCGGTCAAAGTTGAACAGGTCGACGCGGCCCAGGTCCGTCAGAATCTTGTGATTCTCTGAGGGGATGACCATAGGATAGTGAGCATAGACGGAGTTGTGCTTGAAGTGGTTCGGGAATGCGCGGATGAACAGCTTGTAAAACACGCAGCCGTGATTTATCTTGAGGTCGTAGTTGGCCTCATTGAAACCCCAGTTGGTCAGATAACGCGGGTTGTAATCAGTCGTGTAATGTCTATCACCGCGGACGAGGCAGACGGCGTCTGAAAGCACGACACGGGAGATGGTGTACGTGGGGGCGATACCAACACCCGGCACCATGGGCGACTTGGCCTCCTCGGCAACGATACCGGGGTACAACTCGACGTTATCCGGTTTCTGATACAGGTTGCGCAGTGCCTCAGAAACCTTGGGGTCCGAGTTGATATCTTCAAACCTGTCGTACGGCTTGAGACCGAAGTGCTTGCGGAACTCGTTGAGCTGCTGGCATTAGTGAGGGGACAAAATGTGAGAGCGTGGGAAAAGCTTACGCCGGCGACGTTCCACTTTCTGGCTTGTAACATGCCTAGAATTTCGACTGGCCGCATGACCTTGGGCACATTACGTGCGCCGAACGAACCGGCAGGATCTTCGACCGACGCGCTGACGCAATCGACGAGATCGTCGTCACTAAACTTGCCGTTCTCGCCCCTCTTGTATCCGCCAAAAGTCCTCTCAATAGGGTCATCCGGGATGGAGCCTGGTCAGGTTAACTTTGGAATCCATGGTTCTGGGGAAAGACGTACGCTCGTATTGCATGAAGATCCTGCCCATCTCGGCGGGCGATAACTCCCCCTGGTGGCCGCCGAGAATCTCGCCATAGAACTGCTGAATCCACTTGTCATCCTTATCTGAGATGCACGAGTGCCATCGGTAGCAGAGGTTGAACTCGGCCGAGACCATATTGCCAGTTCCCGACTCAGCTCCTTCAGCCGTGTCAACTTGCATGCCTGACTCCTGCCTCGGGTCGAGCGTCCAAGTAGTGTTAGTGCGGTTCAAGTTGACAATATTGCGGACATAGTCCACAAGCGTGATGTTAATGTACAGTCCTGACGTGACGAGTCTGGCCGTCTGGAAGAGATCGTTGTCATACTTCTTCGACGCCGCCTCTGCCGCTTCGCCTTCGAGGAAAGGAGACGGCGGCGTGAATCGACCACCCTCGTTGATAGCTGCCAAATTCTCGGCAACATGGTTATGGAAGCGGTTGAACATGATGAGGAGTACGCTGACGGTAGGGGGCATGCCGAGGAGGCGCTTGTCGGCAAAACTATCAGCTTTGAGCTTACCGTCCTTGAAGGTGCGGATCGTGTCCTGCATGTCTTGATTGCTGCCGTAGAGGGGCGAGAGATCAAGATAGGACGAGGTTTTGGACTTGTTAATGTCACGGAAATCGGTCCAGAAAAGATCTCGATGGTGTCAGTTGGTTCTGTGCCGGGCGTTGCCTAAGGAGACGTACCGTGAATGATGATGGTTGCCCAGTTCCAGAGAATCGAGGACACATTGTTCGGGTGCTTCGTATACTCATTACGAGCAAAGATGGAATCAAAAATTAGCCCAGGGTCAGGCAGGGCCGCAAGGGTTGGCTTCTTGGGCGCAACAGATCGCGCATATGTCTGCCCGGCAGCTCCCAGCCAGGGGTAGAGCGGGTTCTGTTCGTGCTTCAGCAGTCTGGCCGATACTTGGAGGCGTGGGTGAACCTACGTTGTGCGAACCGTCTGCTCGGCGATACTTCCAGTCATCTCCGACGAACAGCAGTGGCGGGTGGTCAAGTGAGTCCCACAACTCCTCGATGAGCGTGTTCGTGAGCTTCTCGCGGAGGCTGGAGTTGTGTGGTAACTTTGCGACCATTTGAATGACATACTCCATGATCATGGTTTTGTCATCCTTGATTTTCTCGCCCTTGAGCTTACCCTTGATCATCGTTGCTAGTGTTTGAATGTCTATGTCGACATTAGCAGATGCGCAAGGTCCTAGAAGCCATGCGCTGTACCTCGCTTCCGAAGAACCTTGAGGTTCTGGACAACACCTGGGCGTGCAGGGACGATAACATAGGAACCATCGCCGTGATCTTTGGGTAGCGGTCGCTTGGAAGCTTTCCTTAACTTCATAAACTGAGCGAGCTTGCCACTCTTCTCGTCGTGACCGCCACAGACATCGTCACCAATTGGCTTGGCCTTCCTCTCAGCATTGCGGACATTGCCATTGACAGCAGGGTCTATGCGTCCGGGCTGCGTAGACGAACCGCTCGAAGCGTGCGACGCGTTTGAGTCTTTCTTCATGGCGAGACCGTGCGCTGGAGAGGCTATCCATTTGTTAGGTTTGGGGACATTTCCATCACGCCATGACATACCTTGACTGTATCTAACAGTGTTCTTTACTTTCAAGTTCACGACGTGGGAGGCCCTTGCTGATTATGACAGGTATTCGCTTGCGATGGAAGGAGGTGTAATAACTTCCGAAGTACGGCACCGATGTCCGTACGCTTCAGGCTCTGAGGACAAGGGACGAAGGTCCCAAGCGACCACGGCCGCCTATGCCCGGCCATATATACCAAAACAATCAGTGCCCATGCACAAGACATGATCTCGAGAACCACTCTACCTGCTGTGTACACAGTACTTGGCACCCCTCAACCTGGAAGAAGGGAGCCGGGCTGACTGAGACATCTAGAGTCCCCCATGCTTTTTGCTCCGTCCCACCCTCGAGGGACACACTTGACCGACTGTTGACCAGTAGAAAGTGCCGTCTTTGTAAAACATATCTTCTACGTGAAGGGTGCTACCCGGTTTGCGCAATTTGCGCTTGACCTCTGAACTGACGGCTGGCCACTTGGCACATAGCCAAGGACACAGATCTTCCTCGCTCCCCTCTCGATTGGCTGTCGTCGACCAGCCTAGACGGAGACGCTATTGGAGCTCCGGCGCGGCCCGCCTCAACTCTCCATGCAGCTATGCTTCAGCTCACGAGCGGCAGTTGCTCATTTCGACCAGCTGCGTGTGATGGTGGCTTGCGTGGCACGTAAATGACTGGAAAACGATGCTTGGTCAGTGTGCCCAGGCTAGCTTTGGAGCGCTGGGATGCTCCTCTGATCCGGGCGATCCTTGGTGATCTTGGTAGATCAGGACGTTCGCATCTGGACGGCTAGGAGGGGCTTCTGCAAGCCCGTAAATCTAGTGACGTTAGCCACATATTGAGCGTCGTGGGGGTCTGTATCTCGAGATTTCGTCCGAACAGTATCGCTTATGCTATGCAAGAACCAAATTGACAACGGGACCCGATGAATTCTTGAAGCTCGACAAATGTGAGACGCGTTACGACAAAACTGATGGGTCGGCGTGATCACAAGCTTTTGGGGATGTGAAGTGCAAATGTGATGTGCAGACGCTGTGCTCATCGGAGCTTCCACAGCGACAGGCCGACGGCCATGCATGCTTCTGCTTTCGCTTGATATGCTGCTCGTCGATGCATCCGTATGCCACGTTGAGCCAATAAAAGCACTGTGAAACCCAAGGGCAATGTCTATTGAGACTAACGTGACGGGGACTGGGACATGTGAGACCTTATTGCTTTTCCCCTGTAGGGGCCCGCCGGCAAGCATCGATCACGCACGGACGATGTGCTCCAGAGGGGTGCCGCTCGCCCTGTCAGGGTTCATATTTGGAGTTGTCAGTCGAATTACAGGCAATCAATGCGAGTTGGGTCCATGTTGTCGATGGGTATTGTCTCACGCGACTGGCTCTCGTGGCATGGCACCTTTCTCGCACGTTGTAGCACACGCGCCGTTGCTGCATTCCCAGAGTCAACGGAAAACGCCTCGCGCCCATCGGGTACAGGGATGGGCACTGGAATACCGCGCAATAGGGCAACGTCAAATGTCTGTGATGCTTGACGAAAAGAGGTCCCTGCCAATGATGTGAAGGCTCGGTGCTGTCCATGGGAGGGCCGAGATCGTGTCTAGCTCAGCCAGCCACACGCGCAGATCAGTTCCGGTGTATCGTAATGTCAGCGGTGGGGTCAGATGTCCCTGGTACGCGAGCCCGTCGTCCGCAGCATGGTCTCTGGGGGAGCATGCGTCCTGGTCAACAACCCTGGTATATCAAAGAGCGGAAGCCCGCCGTGCCGACTGGGAGCTTGCGCTACCTGCGGAAGCGAGGGATATAGCTTTCGGCAGATAAGCCTGCTCGCCACGGACGTTGTAAAGCGTCAGTCCTCCCACAATCCATCACTGAGCATGGCGCATGTTCTGGGCCAAGCTGGTACGCAAGCCAAGAGTTCAAGCGTGGCCATGGATCCGACGAATCCCACCAACGCCAGCCAGAATGTCGACAACTGGGCACAGGACCAGAAAACTGGTCCTGTGCTTCGACGGGACGGGCAACAAGTTCCACGGCGATGAAAGCGATAGCAACATTTTGAAAATTTTCCGCATGCTCGACAGTTCATCCGATGACCAGTGTAAGATTCATGACCCCGTTGTCCGTGTGTCTGACCACGATGGCTAATGCGAACGTAGACCAATACTACCAACGTAAGTTGACGCACGGGAGGAAGCGGTGTTGTGGTCGTGACGAAATGATGCGTCGCGGGTATTCAGGCCCTGTTGCTGACATGAAGTTTCAGCTGGCATTGGAACCTATGTGGTCTCGGAGAACATCTCCCACACAGGCCTTCGGTCAAGGGCTAGCTCTTGGTACCAGATGGCCAAGGACTCGGCCATTGGGTCGTCCTTCGACCAGCACGTGGTTGGTGGCTACCGATTCCTCATGCGCTACTATTCGCCCGGGGACGAGATTTACATGTTCGGTTTCTCGCGTGGGGCGTATGTAGCACGGTTTCTGGCAGAAATGCTCGACTACGTCGGCCTCCTTGCGCACGGCAACGAGGAGATGGTCATCTTTGCGTGGAACGCCTTTTCGCAGTGGCAATGCCGACGGGCCAACTCGACGCCGGAAGGCAAAGAGGACAAGGAAAAGATGTACAAGTTTCTGAAGGGGTTCCGAGAAACATTTTCGCGGCCAATTCGGCGGATCCGGTTCCTTGGGCTTTTTGATTGTGTCAACAGCGTGCCGCGTTTCGAGACGGCGTGGATGCAGCGCGACAAGTTTCCGTACACGGCTCGGAGCTCAGCCAAGGTAATCCGACATGCTGTCAGCATCGACGAGCGACGCGCCAAATTCAGACAGGACCTCATCTACCAAGAAAAGAAGAAATGCAAAAAGCCGAAAAAGGACGCCTTGGGCCACTCGCTGATGGAGAAAAATCCACTCAACGATAAGCTGCACGAGTTTCAAGAGAAATACCGGCCGGGAAAGCGCGTTGCACTCGATCCCAACGATATCCCAGGCAGTGCCGGTCGAGGCCGAGATGCGCCAAACGAGCTCCTGCCCGATGACGCGGATCACCCGGTGCGGTACCGGAACCGCTCTAGGTCGAGGTCGCGCGCTACAAGCCGTGGCATGAGCGACAATACATCATTGGCCTCCCGGGCGCCCGTGCCCGACGCTGGCTACGATTCGGACGACGATGAGCAAGACATCGATGAAGTCTGGTTTGCGGGCGGGCACGCTGACATTGGCGGTGGCTGGGATGTCATACCAGGTCAGAAGAGCTCCAGCCACGTGCCCCTCGTGTGGATGGTCAGGGAGGCGATGCGGGCTGGTTTGAGCCTGGATGTACGGCAGCTTGAAGAGATCGGATGCATCGAGTGTGCCGATGATCACGAGGGAGAGTGCGAGGCGGCGCCCCTGGGCATTCCCGAGATCCACATTGATGCGCCGTCTCCGGGTGTTTCTTCGCCGAATGTTCTCGAGCAAGATGTACAGGACGAGCCAGCTCTGCCGAGCGATGCGAGGTCCAAGTTCGAGGAGATGCTTCGAGATGCCCACTTGTCCGACCTTCACGACTCGCTGCGGTTCGGGCGGGGCGTACCGCGCCTTTCAGTCTGTGGTTGGCGGTTCATGGAATGGATGCCCTTCCGACGACTTGACCTGCGGCCTGACGGGTCATGGAAGCCGATCCGATGGCCGCTGCCCCGCGGAGAGGTGCGCGACATCCCAGAGAATGTACGCGTGCACGGAAGCGTGATTCGGAGGCTCGAGATGGATCCCACGTATCGACCAGGCAACCTCATTATTGGTGGGGGTGGTCGTGGCGTCAGGATAGCGTCTGAGAAGCATGGGATTGGCGAATGGATATGTGTCAAGGGCAAAGGGGATCCGGTGGAGGAGATATGGGTGAGAAAGAAGAAGAGCGATACGGGGGAGTCATGAGATGAGGATGGTCGGAGACAATCGAAGAGTGGTTGGGGGGGGAGGCAAGCAAGCGTTGAGATTGAGGCTGATGGAGATGCTTGCAACTGCTTCTTCTGTGGAAGGATCCACCGTTGTTGTGGTTAGCGCACCTACCCCGGGCAGCAAATACGCCGCAGCCGTGTTGGCATCGGACATTAAGCTTCCAGTGCCGGCAGCGACCGCCTACTCGATCCGTGGCTGACCAGCGATGTGCGCGCCACAATCTGACCCTGGTGGGCACCCCGCAGCAACAATCCAATGGCAACAGAGTCGATCGCTGGGATGTGAGCACGCAATCGACTGAGATGGGCGCCAAGAACGACGGATACGGGAGGTGGCAGGAACAGGCCTTGCTGCTTTAATACTGCTTGTAGGGCATTCAGTGCATGTGGCTCAGCTGCACAACAAATTTTAGGTCGTTTGTTGCCTTCACTTCACAACTCACGACTCCACCACTCTGAAGACTACCAGGAAGGACTGTCCGTCCCAAGACCGTGAAAGGATCGCATCTATCCACAGACTAGAGAGGGAGAGTACTGTGATTATTAAGTTAAATGGACCCGCCCATTGGTAAATTGGCATGTACATAGACACAGCAAACCTGGATGGAAATGGCACAATGATCAGGATATGAACGATCAGGGGGCAAAAGCAAAAACATACAACATCAGGGATTCGCTGGTGGTCACCCACCCAACTACTAGTCCGACCCTTACTGGCTTATCTATGGGAGAGCGGACGGGATCCCGAGTTCTCCAGTAGGTATGGTCGTATGTGCTTGATCCTTGTTGTTTTGCAACTGATGACAGGGTAAATTTGTGAGTCCTGATTTCTCAGCAAGGCGACAAGCTGGCATGATCAAGGAAGATCTGTCAACTAGGGGGAACCAATGCTCATGCTCCCAAACACAGCCTATACTTAACCCCCAAACCGCCCACCAAGACCCTTGGCCATATTGCTGATGACCACAGCTTGTTGTTCTACCGTATGTTTGGTTTGCCTGGTTTCAGGGGGGTTTTTTGTTTTTCATCTTGGCCTGGAGAAGGATACCCCCACAGCCTCTGTGTTGGCTGTTGACGGACATCGATGCGAAAAGATGTGGTCTCCTTGACACTAGCCCTGGTATTCCATGGCAGAATCGAGTCAAGTAGCCTGTATGGCCTGTGTGGCTGAGTCCTGACAAGGCAAAATCGTCTCTAAAGCGGCGAGGACGCTAATACTTCATCGTGCATGTCACTGGCTGGGGTACAAGCTAGCGGCTTGGCGGGTCCTCCTCCCGAACCTACGCGCCTCAAATGATTGATGCCCGCCTAATTCCACCCATTCTTGCTCCCAAACACAGCCCATCAACAACGAGCCATGTCGGAGTCTGCCTGGTCCCCCGCGAAGGAAAAAACTTGTCCAACATTGGGACTGTATTGACCTGCCCTTTCTGGAAGCTCTTTGATAGGCCCGGCTGATCCTTCGACGCATGACTCTCTCCGCGTCGAGCAGGGATGACATCAGAAACACCACCTTGATCCTGGTTCTCGCGCCCCAACCTGAGCCGGAGCAACGACTGCTCACCACTCACGCTTCTTCCTTCACGGGCTGCTGACAGCTGACGGCTTTGGCCCAGGTTCTGCCGCTGCATAGCGGGTGACTCTTGGCTGTTTTCTCGAACCCTGAGGACTTCAAGCCCCCAATCCTTGATCTTGCGCAACGTGGCACAAGGATGGCGTGCCTAGGAGATCACATCCGTGTCCGAGTATATATGATGACCGTTGCGCCGTCGGCTGGTCGGAAAATGACCTGATCTGCTCCTCTTTCTTGCGAGCATTGTTATCCGCACAGCTCAAGTAGCTGTCGCGCCTGCCCACACGGGTCTTACGAGGTGATTCTGCGCTCAGGTTCCCCTCTCTCCGCCTCACCCATAACCACCATCGTATCCCTTCCCCTTCGAGTCGACAACCCCGACCAGCCATGGCCGACAAGAAAACCACCCCCGAGCCGTCGGGGCTGGAGCCTGGTCCGCCCGCCTACAACTCGGACGAGAGCGATGGCAGCACCAGACACCGTGAAGTCTATGCCTACACTGAGGATCGCAAGATTGGTATCACAGGCGCTGTCTTCCTCATCTTGAACAAGATGATCGGTACCGGCAGTATGTTGTTCAATCGGCACGTCGCTCCGTGATTTCGAGCTTACCTGTCCCAAGTATTTTCAACCCCCTCTGGCGTCTTCGCGGCGACCGGCTCTGTTGGCATCAGTCTCATGCTCTGGGTCATTGGCGGAATCCTCACAATGTGCGGTATTAGTGTGTTCCTCGAATTCGGTCTCGCGATCCCCCGATCTGGAGGCGAAAAGAACTATCTCGAGCGAGTGTACCGTCAGTGACTCTGCCTACCCCCGTCACTGAGGCGAAACTTGGTCGCTTACCCTCACCAGGTCACCCTAAATACCTTGCGACGTGTGTTCTTGCCTCGCAGATGATCCTGCTTGGCTTCTCGTCTGGAAATTCCCTCGCTTTCGGTCGATACGTCCTCTTCGCTTCCGGCAGCGAAAGTCCCGATGGCTGGGCAGCTCGGGGCATCGCCGTCGCCTGCGCGACCTTTGCGACCTTTCTTCACGCCGTCGCGCCCAAATGGGGACTGCGCCTCATCAACGTCCTCGGCGTCTTCAAAGTCGTCATCCTGCTGTTCATTGTCTTCTCGGGCTTTGCCGCTCTCGCTGGCCACCGCCGCGTCCCTGATCCCGACAACTTCAGCAACGCGTTCCGCATCGAAGAAGGAGACGGATACGGCAACGGCGGTGCCTACGGCTACGCGACCGCGCTGCTGCGCGTCGTGTACAGCTACAAGGGATGGGAGAATGCCAACTACGTCGTCGGCGAGCTGAAAGACCCCAAGCGGACGCTGTCCATTGCGGCACCCCTCGCCGTCGTCGGCGTGACGATCCTCTACGTCCTCGCGAACATTGCTTACTTTGCCGCCATTCCCAAGGGCCAGCTCGCGACGTCTGAAGCCCTTGTTGCTGGCGTTTACTTCCGGAACATGTTTGGTGACAACGCGGGCACGCGGCCCTGCCGGTATTTGTCTGCATCTCCAACCTCGGTAACGCCCTCGCCGTCAGCTTTGCCCACGCCCGTCTCAACCAGGAGTTTGCCAGGGAGGGCCTCCTCCCCTTCAGCCGCTTCTGGGCCTCCAACCGGCCCTTCAACGCGCCCGCCGCCGCCCTGTTCCTGCACTGGATCGTCACCGTCATTGTGCTCGTCGCGCCGCCGGCCGGCCCCGCCTACAATTTCATCGTCGATCTGTACACCTACCCCGGCCCCTGGGTCCTCACGTTTGTCTGTGCCGGCCTTATTTACCTGCAGTGGACCGAGAAGGAGAACTGGTCATCGCCGTGGCACACGTACCTGCCCATTTCGGTCTTGTATCTCCTGGCCAATGCGTTCTTGTGCATCGTGCCCTTTATCCCGCCGACGGGCTCGTCGGATCCGGACGGATACCCGTACTACGTTTTCCCTGTCGTTGGTGTCGGCGTTTTGCTTCTCGGTGCCTTTTGGTGGCTATGCTGGACCAAGATTTGGCCGTCCATCGGGGGGCATAAGATTGTGGCGGAGAGGGAGTACGATGAGCAAGGTCACGAAGTCATCAGGTACAAAAAGATCAGCACGCGAGGGCATGTTGGTCCGGTAGAATAACTTTCGCGAACTGCATGATGGGCTGGTTGACGGTGTGCATTAAAAAGAATTTCAACATGGTATTTTCTTTACAAGTGCATGGCTACGCTGCTGACTATCGGTGCATTAGGCACGGCCCTGAGATGTGCCATCCTCGGGGCCAGGGAGACCCTCCTCGTCGCCGGGCTCGCGGTAAGAGCCTTCGGGCTTAGCGGAGCGTGTGCGTTCATCGATGATGTTGTCAGGGTTGATGGCATCCTTGTCGTCGCGTTCTGGTTGTGTTAGCACGCGCATGGTCAATTCGCAGCGAGCGACAACATACCAAGCTGCGCGTCAGAGTCGGCAGTGTTCTCGTCGATGGGGTCCTCGATCTTGGCGTCGTCGGACTGGACAGTGATGGGCTCACGGGCCTGGCGCGAAACGTACTCGTCGTCCTTGACGTCGACGCCGGCATCGTTATTGTAGCTGTCAGACATGATTTGATATATTTAAGGCTCAAAGCTGCGTGTTGGATTGTTCAACTGATTCGATTGACTGAACGCTGACTGATTTTAGTTGAGTGGAATACAAGATGAGATGTATGGATTTTTAGTTTTTTCTTGAAGGCACTTACTGGCTGTTCATATACTCACTTCCCACAGGTGAGCCGACGCTCACCAGGGTGCATCGCTGATGATGCCGGTTGACTCAGATTCCGCTCATCAACCTGTCTATGACGCCCTGATGGACGTTCAGTGTCTTGTTGCGATTATAGTCTGTTGTGATTACAGTCTATCGTCACACTAACACCAGGAGGAAATGCTCCTAGGTCTTCAAACGACATGACCCTATTTCATGGGGAATCATGAGTCAAGCTAGCCTGCCAATTCGGATCGCGCCGATCAACCCAGAACTACCCGATTGGGGCCGTCTCCATGATGCGTCGATGTTGATGTTCGGTGAGAATTCTCACCGACAGCAAGCAAATCCTCACCGAGCGACTCGCACGCCCGGTGTGACGTCGGTTGCATTTTCAAGAGGCAGCCGGCCGGCCGGTAACAAGGCCGCCGAGCAATGCTCAGCCTCTCCACATTTACATCACTCGTTGCCGAGTGAAACGCAGCCCTCTTTTCGAGTCTGCCCTGGCACCAGAGGGGCCAAGATCCCCCCCCCGTCGAATGGGCTGACTTTGCTGGTCATGATGTCTCTTAAGAACGACATGGGGCCCCGGATCGGATCCATCGCCCATCCCTTTGTACCAGAACTGATCCCGTTCGATTCGTGACGTCTACCATTCTGGATACACTCGTCACCTCGGACACCCATTCACCAGAAGCAAAGCCACCAAGCCACCATTCGAGTCCGCCCACCTTAGCCGCCTACTTAGCGTTCCTCTATCGAAAACAAAGAAGAAGAAAAAAAACCAGCGAAGCCAGACACGCCGCCGCCCCAAATGTCATCGGCCCGCCACCGCCGCCGCTCGCCGCCCGACGACTACGACTACGACGGCTACGAAAGCCCCCCGCGCCGCGCCGCGCCCCGCCCACGGGCACCGCCGTCCTACAACTCGGATGACTACGACTACGTCGCGCCAGACCACGACCCGACGGGGCGCGCCTCGCCGCCCGTATACCAGGACTCCCCGCCACCTCCACCACCCCAAGCATCATCCTCGTCCCGCCGCCGCGACGCCCGCCGCCCGGCCCAGGCCCCGCCCCGCGCCCGCTCCCTCGACGGTCCCACCCGCCGCCCGACGCGCAGGCGACGCGACAGCTATAGCGACTACTCGTCAGACGAGTCCTCGCCAGACGACCGTTACACCTCATCATCGTCGTCGAGGCGGCCTCCGCGCCGGTCCGAGACGCAGAGGCAGCCGCCCGGTCGGGGCCGCGGGTACTACCCGCCCCGGGCAGGCGAGAATCGGCGCGGCGGCGGGCGAGACGAGCCCAGCCGCGACAGGGATCGAGACCGAGACCACGGCGGCGGCGGCAGCAGCAGCAGCGGCCGGGCGCGGTCGTCGTCGACGTCGAGCAACAAGGACAAGATGATGGCGGCCATCGGGCCGGCGCTGGCGGCGGGGGCGGCCGAGGCGTGGCGGATGAGGAGCCAGAAGGGGCGGTGGGTGGAGAAGGCGCCGAGGGTGGCGACGGCGGCTGCGGGCGCGGCGGCCATCGCTGCTTTCAAGAATGGCGGGGATGACGGGGGACGGGATGATCGCCGGAGCCGGGATCGGTATGACGATCGGTATGATGACCGGTATGATGACCGCAGGGGGAGGAAGGAGGAAGAGGATTCGGGGTTCAGCAAGGGGGCCATGTTAAAGAGCATGGTGGGCGGCTTGATCATGAACCGATTCGCGCATGGCTCGAGGAAGTGATCTGGTGTGCCTCGAGCTTCACTCGTGAAGAGTTGTGCTACCGGCCAGAGAGGTGGAAGAATAATATTGAGAAGGGATCGGAAAGACTTGGATGAAAATACGATGGGACGATGCACATTCATGGGACACGGCATGCACATAGACTACTATTTTTGACATTATTTGTTTCAGTGAGAGTCAAATGGCGGGTATGGAATTGTTGAGCTACTGACGTGAATGCCGACAACAAAGTAACAGATCAGATGAACAAGAGCGTGTCACTGCAGATGCCGCTATCAGGAGGAAAAAAAGCCGATGGCCATGTATGCCAAGAAAGCATTTTGCTTGCTATTCCTGTTCACGCGTGCTCTTCCTAGGCACAACGTCCAGCGCGGCGCATCGCTCCAGCCCTCAGCTCGGCATCACGACATTTTCGCCGTCAAGAGTCGTACAATTCATCGGCAACACCGACCAGCGCGCCGTTTCGGAAACCCCCACCTTTCGGCAAAATTAAGCACTTTGCCGAGCATACACGCCCACCAACGACGCCCACGGCCTCTTCACCAGCGCACGACTCAGGGTCCAAGGCAGCCGGTCGCTAGCCTCGTTCGGGCAGCGGGACGCCAGGATAAAAACTGGAGATAGCATCGCTGAACACCATGGCGAAACCGATACCGGCTAGTCCGCGTGTGCGAAGCTGCACACATAAAAGCGCCTCGTCCATGAGAGCAAAACGAGGCACACGACGAACAGGCTTGCACGAGCAGTTTGAGCAAGCAACACAGAGCAGCAAATCAGCACACAGCCAAAACCAGGAGGCACATCAAAGCACAGCCAGTCGGTCAACGGAATGACGGGACCCCACCTTGTCGTTCTCGGCGCCGGCGTTATCGGGCTCACGACGGCCCTGACGCTGCGGCGCCCGGCACCCGTCGGTGCGCATCACCATCCTCGGCGGCGGACTTCCCGGGCGACTACACATCGACTACTGCTCCCCTGGGCGGCGGCAACTGGTGCTCGGCGGCCACCGACGATGGGCTGCTCGAGTCGTTCGACCGCGTGACCTACGAGCGCTTCGCCGCCAATTGTGCGCAGAGCCCCGAGCGGGCATCCAGTGGTCGCCGCTGCGCATGATCTTCGACCAAAAGATAGAGGACGCCGCCATCCTGAGCGAGGGCACGGGCAAGCTGTGGTATGACGAGCTCGTGGGCGGCGTGAAGGCGGTGGCGCAGGGGGCGCTGCCGGCGCGGGCGGCGTTTGGGCTCGACGTGCCGCGGACGTTTGTGATCAACACGCAGATCTACCTGCAGTGGTGCGTTCCTGTTTCCTCCCTTCGTACTCTGTCCCCGTTGTATTTTGTTTCTCCATTCTCACGAAGTTCAATCCCCGGTCTAACAGGCAAGGCTCCTCGAAAAGTGCCGCCAGGGCAACGTGACGCTCGACCGGCGCCGCATCACGCACATCCGCGAGGGGCGCATCGCCGCAGAACGTCACGGGCGGGTCCTCAAACTGCACAGGCCTCGGCTCGCACTCGCTCGGCGGCGTCGAGGACAAGGCCATGTACCCCGACGCCGCGGCCAGACGGTGCTCGTCGAGCAGCCGCTGCAGCCGCTGCGGCGCATGTACTTTCGGTCGCCGCGGCGCGTCGACAACGACACGACGTACATCTTCCAGCGGCCCATGGCGGGGGGCGTCGTGCTCGGCGGGTGTCGGCAGGACGGCAACTGGAGCGGCGAGGTCGACGAGGCGCTGGCGCAGGATATCATGCAACGGTGCTGCGCGCTGGCGCCGGAACTCGGGAGACCGGAGGATCTCAAGATCATTCGGCAGGGCGTCGGGCTGCGGCCTGGGCGCAAGGGGGGGCCGAGGGTCGAGGTCGAGGTTGAGGGCGAGGACGAGGACGAGGTCAAGCGCGAGGCGTCTGGCGGAGGCGGGGCCTCGGCCGCTCTTGTTGTACTGCACAATTACGGGCACTCTGGCGCGGGCTATCAGGCCTCCTGGGGCTCGGCGGAGCACGGCGTCCGATTACTGGAGGAGAAGCTCGGTCTCGGCGTGGGGAGGGTGACGAGGCTGTGATGGAGAGTAGGGAAGAGGGCAAATGTACGGAGTTGGGTCTGGCTGAGTTGAGTCCGCCTGGGTCACCTTTGGGAACGTGGAAAGGGCGTTGGAGACGGAGGAGCACAGGGCGTCCGTGTCAGGAGCGAATCGACCTGCCTCCTTCCTACCTGCTTCCTTCCTACCTGCCTTCTTCCTACCTGCCTCCTTCCGACCTGCCTCCTTCCTACCTGCCTCCCTCCTACCTGCCTCCCTCCTACCTGCCTCCCTCCTACCTGCCTCCCTCCTACCTGCCTAAGGTACCTCTAGGTACCTTTGGCCCGCATGTATAGTATGCTGTTTTGCGTGGCCACCCTTGGAGCATGAAAAGTCGCCCATGCCGGATGGGTTCCAGTCAAATGACTGAATCCCCTAACAATGTCGTCTGAGTACAGTTTTCCGACTTGTCCAGGTCGTACAGACAGGATCAGTTTTCCGAATCAGATCGGGCCCCCATGTCCATGTCTTCAGTGCTGTCAGAGTCATCCTGTTGGTCATCGGCCGATGAGTCTTCAGCTTCAGTGTCGTCATCCAGGTCTTGATGTAGTGCTGTCACACTCTCAGCATCCAGCAGTATCCTCTGTCTCACTGAGGGTTGGAGCTTGGGGCCTTGCAGTGCTCTGGCCTCCTCCTTTTTGGCTGGATCACCAATTATCAACTGACTGTTTCGAATGTCTAGGTGTGCATTCACTTCCCAAAGTTAGGGAACGCCCAGTATCAGCTGCACTCCATGGGACCCAGACGTAAGGTACCTACCTAGGTACCGTACATGTACATGAACCGCAAGTCCCGGGGCAGATGGCGGCCGAAGACGGTCGCCATGACGGAGGCATGCCGGAAGCATGACCATCGGAGAGGGGATCAAAAATCTCTTCGCCATGTCACGGTTAAATCACATTCGCCAATGTGCCCCACCGCTGAGTGCTGCATGCTCAAGGCAGGGCACCCAACGACGTGCCGGGAGAGCCGGAGACGTCTCCGGCGTGCTGATCTCTGTGGGCTAGTGTGCTTCGATGCCGGAGAATCAGGATGTGACATGATGGAGGACCAGAATGGGATGAAGACCAGCGTGGAGATCTGCCGTCGGGGAGAGCCTGATGGAAACGGCGCGACAGGATGGAGGGGGGGCGGCGGGGTACAGGGGCGAGACCTCAACGTTGAGACGAAATTACGCAGGCTGGTCCTTGACATTGTGAATTGCTGGCCGCCCGCTCCTCTCAAAAATCCAGAAAAATCAAGCTTGGTTCTCGAAGCCATCTTCCATCCCTGTCTCGGCTCACGAGGTGTATGCAATGAATCTGATGTCCATGGACCGGGTGGGCAAATAACCAGACATGGAGCCGCCATCCAGCTCCAGGGCCCCCTCTCCGAACCTTCTCCGTACCTCCTTTGACAGCAGTTCGCGGGGTGGCGGGGACCCGAGCGCCGGTAAACGGTGCGTGCATTGGAACAGTACTTGCTTCGCGCGGGTTCCTAGCGTGTCTACCTCCCTTGGTGCTTCAGGGGGTACTTACTGCCTTGGGACCTACCCAGTGATAGAGGGCCCTAAATATGGAGTCGCTTCCCACCACGACCCGCTCTTGCCCCATGCATCCTGACGTTGTGCCCCGGTAGCTGTTGCCTGTGCGTCCTCCTGGCCCCTCCGCCCCCCTCGCCTTCCCCACCAACGAGACGAGCTGAACATGGCACGCCAAAAAAGCTAACCATCATGAACAACGACGACCATGCTCCATGATTGTCACGCCAGCCCTTGTCACCCACACTGCCCATTTCGACTGGCCGATTCCTTCAAACTAGATGAACGACCCAGAGCGTCATATCTCTGTCTGTGCGCATAATCCCTAGCCTCTGCCTGGCTGCCGACGCGCATGCCCCGAGAGGCCCACCACGTCACCTTGTCGTCACAAACTGGACCCTGTCGAGGCAGGCGCTCCGCCGTCGCTCGAGGGTCGGGATTCCACTCGAACTCACTGCCATGATGCTTACACGGATCAGGAGGACAAGGCGAGTGTGGGTGGATAGTGATGCTTGTTCCTGATAAAAGAGGCGACGTGGAGGTCGGCCGTAGGAACCTAACACGCTTAATTTGTCCCCCTTTTTCCGGCAGTCGACCTTGAGAACATGGGTAATTTGACCCGACACATATACCGCCCCTCTATCTATCTGTATCACCTGCCAACGAAACTAGCAACGCCCTCCGCCTGCCTATCAACCCCAAAACCAACATCCTCCTCGCCATGGCAGCCGCCCCCGCGTCCTCACCGCCGTCCCCCTTGTCGCAAAAGCCGCGCGCCTGCACGCGTGAAGCCTGTGACACATGCCGGGACAAGAAGGCAAAGGTATGTCCTCAACTCTGTTTTTATGGCTCTCGCCCATCCTACCATTGTCACACAACTCACTGATTCGCGGCCCCACAGTGCAGCGGTGGCAGGCCATGCACGCGATGCGCCCAGCGAAACATAGACTGCATCTATGAGAGCCGCCATTATCGCACCAAACGAAGCCTGCGCGATGAAATTACAGTTCTGAGACAGGAGAATCTGGAAAAGGACAAGGCCATTGAGGAACTGCGCCGCCAGGACACCAACTCCAACCAAGATCAGGCCCAGCTTGCCCTCCTGTCGCCGCAGAGCTCAGTCAACAGCACGCACGAACGGCACCACGCAGTCTCAACAGCTCGCCTCATCACGGCACCAGTCTCCCTCTTTGACGCCTACATCTGCCGACGCATGGTGGATTCTCGACCCGAAATCCGGGTCTGTGCAGTCTTACCCTGGATCTAGGCAGCTGGCCACCGATTTCTTGCAGGCCAATTCTACCGTATCGCCACAGGCTGTGCTTCTGTTCAATGCCACCAGCGTGCCTTCGGTTGGGTATGACCATGGCTTCTCCCTGCCCTGGTCTGGACTCCCCCAGGCTCAAGGCGCCGGTTCCATGGCCCCGTCCGAATCGACACGCTCTTTTTCTGCCGGCCTCGATGCGACATCGCTGGGCCAAGACGTCAACCCCATGTTTACATTGCACAACCCAGATGCCTACAACATGGCCAACAACACCATGAGCGTGCCGCAGGCCGGCGTCGACCAGCCATGGGACGTTTATCATCCCGACAAACCTGCTTATGCCGCCATCTCACCCGTCTCGGCGCCAGACAATGCAGTACTGACTGCGCCAACGCCTCCCTTGTCCCCCTCGACCTCTCTGGCTGGCCTCGACGACATGGCTCCTCCCTCGCCGCCCACCGAGCATCAACCTGCCTCCCGTGAGCGCCACCGTCTCGCCTCGGCCCGCAACTGGCGCAAACAAAAATCGGCTGCCGCCGACCTGCAGGCAGCGGGCCAGCGCGTCGAGGCTGAGCACTCGGCCCTGCAGTCGCAGTATGCCGAGGTAGCCGAGCAGGTGCGCTTCGTCAAGCATGCTCTCCTCGGCCACGCCGCATGTCATGATCCTGCCATCAGCAGGTGGTTAGAGAATGAGGCGCAAAGCGTTGGTAGCCGACAGGCGAGACTTGAAGAACAGGTCGGCCACGGCACGGGGAAGCGTAATCACGCTGACACTGTTGAGCAAGCTGGTTCGATGAAGAGCCAGAAGCAGACCATTTGTGCGTAACATGCTCGTCGTGGACCCATGCTGGGCGAGGTTGGGATTGGCGTGAGAGTGGTTGTTCATCTTGACGAGGTGCAAGAAATATCAGAGTTCTTCGATTCGCTCAACAGAGTGGGCGTCTTCTATGGGGCGGCGACCTCCACGGTTTTGAATAGCGATCGGCCGGCGAGCCATGATTTCTTGAGCGTTTTTACTTTCAACCTGAAGTTGTCCATCAAAGACAGAAATTTAATGGCATTTTTTTTTCTTTTGCGGAGACATGTCAAATGCGATTCATTTGTGGCTGATCCAGCCAGGGATTGGTGCAGCATTTCTCTCCTCTCTTGGCTGCATCTCAGTGTCTCGAGTGGGATGCAGCTTTTATCCTACGCAATCCTATCTTCCTCGCGCATGCTTTGAGTGAAATGTGTCCGAGACTGACGAGGCCTTGCGGTCCTGTGGAAGACCAGGGACGCAATACTGCGAGATCGCGTGGCAAGCAACTCTGACTGGTCCGAGAAGCGATGTCTGCGCAGGTATGAAAGGCAGCACTTGCAGAGCGTTATCTTCGACGTCTACTTGAGTGTCCAAATTCAGCAACCAAATTTCCATGCCGATTGATGGAGAATTCTTTCCATTTACCTTAGCACGGGTCATAAAACATAGCTTCTTGACCGCCTGATCAGAGTTGGCAAAGGACTTTTCTTACAGCCTGATTTGATGTCCTCTCTGCTGACCATCGACACTTGCAGGGCGTTTGAAACTCCAGCATACGAAGCTCAAGCCGAAATACGTCAATGCGTGGACACGAGTACGGGTTGGCAAGGCAGGCCAGAGACTAGACGAGGGCAGAAGTTCAAGCTACGAGCTAGCGAACGAGCGGGCCTCCAACTACGATATCACACAGGCCCCCAAGCTAAGTCCTTGGCTGCATCTATTCCAGGGCAATGTCGCGCAACTTTTACGCGTCACCACAGCGTCGGCATCTTCACGCCAGGCTGTAGGCCCGCATATTCTCTCCTGACATGCCAGCTCCGATGCTCGCCGCACGTGGTCATGAATCCCTCGAGGCCTGCACTGCAAAAATACCTACCCCGGAGGAAACGTCTTGGCATCTTGACCCATCGGATGACCTGCAGGTTTAAGGCTGTATGGCGACTCCCGGCCGGGACTATTTTCGGGAAAGTCTTCAGGATAGGGGTGTACATGGAACGCGTGCCACAGAACCGTCAATAACGCTACTGTGGCGTGTTTGAAAACACCAATAATACAGAGGCACACAGCTCACCACGGCTAGTGCGTCGAAAACCGTCATGTCATTATACAGCGCAAAAGCACCCATCAGCAAGACGACGTGAAAGCTATGATATCAAAGTATTTCATCAGACTCGCCGCATGTGCCCTCTTGGCCTGCCCCGACTCGTCTCTTCCGTGCCTGTTGTCATGCCCAGAAGAGTCTCCGAGGAGACGTGGAGATCCTCCGCCGGGCTCAGCGTCCAAAGAGCCTGATATGCCGGAGCAACTGGGCATTGGTAAGTGTCAGCAGCAACTCACGGAGATTTTGTAGAGTCCCCTAGTGTTCTGGTCGGTGGGAGAAAGGTTATGAGGCTTTGACTTTTCACGTTTGACTTTTCACAGATATATAGTGATGAGTGATGAGGTAAAGCATGAGCACTAGGACACAGACAAACGAGAAAAGTCATTTCAACCGAGGTGTTTTTGCAGTTATACATTATATAAGTACTGGACCATATGCGATGCAGCATTTCCATTCACAAGCCCAACCCCCTTTACGACGAAGGCGTTCCTAGGGCGCCCAATGTGACGGTCGAGCACGGCGCGTCAAACTCGGACGGCTTGACGAGCCTCGGCACGGGCGAGTTGTTCTCGCCCAGGAGCAGCAGCGACTTGGTCTGGCGGTCAAACGTCGGCCAGCCGAGCCTGCTGAGGCCGCGCCAGGGATCATCGGCAAAGGCGAACCACCCGCTTTGCATGACGCGCGTCAGCTTCTCCTGGTCGGCGGTGGTCGCGAGGCCGCTCGTGTCGGCGGAGGCGCCGAAGATCATGTGCAGGTCGACGCCGTGGTAGGCGCCGCTCGTCGGATAGAGGCGCGTGTTGTCCCAGTCGGCGAGGTAGCGGTAGGCCCAGGCGGGGACGGCGCGGGCGGCGCGGGCGGCGGCCTGGTGGGAGACGGGGCAAGTGAAGGACTCGAGGAGGAAGGCCGTCACCTGGGCGTCTGTGGGGACGGTGCCGGCGCGGAAGGCCGGGATGCGGTAGTAGCCGTCCTCGTTGGCCGTGTTGCCGAGGAGCACCGGCAGACGGGCAAAGGCGCCGGCCGCCGTCAGCGATACGTAGTCCTCAAAGACAAGAGTGCCGTCGGGCGTCGGGTAAAAGGGCGGGATCGAGCGGAGCACACTGCTGCTGGCGGTCGGGCGCACGGCGGCGGCAGCAGTGCGGATGGCCTGCCAGTCGGCAGCGCGCATGCAGGCGAGAACATTGGCGGCCGAGCTGCAACCCACGGCGCTGACGACCGTCTCCCAGTTGCGCTGCGGAACGCCGGGCGCGTTGACGGGGAAGCTGAAGGCGTTGCCTGAAGGCGCGATGATGCGTTGGCGATGGGTGGCGCGGAGGGTTTGTCAGTGTCGACAGCCAACGCCGGCCTGAGAACTGGCCGTAATGGTGAATCTTGGGGGGAATCGCCAACCGAAGCGTTTGATGTTGGTCAGGGATCCCTTTCGACGGCTGCCCGCTGGTCGCGGAAGCCCGAAGGTTCTGGCGGCTGGGCCGGGGGATGCCGGGGAAAGCCAAAAAATGTTCAGGCGGTAGTTTGAACCGTCACGACAATGACGCCCTCAGCCTTCAGCAAAGTACTTTGCCCGGTGTAGAAGGGGCTGTTGGTGTTGCCAAATGGCGAACCCCTAAGGACTTGGTCAGACATGAGGGGCTACCAACAGGGATGGAGGGAGAATAAAGAAGAAGATAGGCTAGTACGTCCACTGTAGAAGAAGACGACGACGAGCTTTGCTGCCATCGTCGACCGTGGCGTGGGTTTCACCCAGGCATTGAGCGTCAGACAGTCCTCGCTCTGCGGCGTGCCCTCACCAGAGGCGAAAAAGGAGACGATGCGACGAGCTTGCGGCGTGAAGCCGGGAAAGTCTGGCGTCGGCGACGCGGACAACGGGCAGTCGAAGCCAAAGTTGGCAGCCTCATACGCCTTGCGAGCGCTGATTTTCTGGGGCGGCGCAAACCTCAGATCCCCCACGGGAGGCTTCGCATAGGGCACGCCCAGGTATTCAATGACACACGAAGCATTGGGGGCGAGGTGGCCAGTAACAGGTCCGTTTGTCGTTGCCACTGTCAGGTAGCCTTGAGGGTTACAAGCATTGCCGGCGACCGAGCTGACCCAGAAGGCCAGCGCCACGCTGAGGGCCTGTGCCGGGGAAAATGAAACCATAATAGACAAGATGTGGGCTGTGAACTGGGTACTTTGGCCGTCTCACTCAACCTGGCCTTGTCTAGGCGGTGGAGGGGTGTTGACAGAGGGAAGACGCGCAACGGGTATCCTGCTCTGGCAAGTCAACTCCGTGTGCGTCGTGCGCTTCGGCCATGTATTTAATATCTGGCTTGATTGGTGGGGCGCCGTTTTTGCAAATCACAACAACCTTGTTCTTCGCATGCGAACTGTTGGTGATTCTTACTGGCCGTACTCTGCTGTTGGAGGGGAATGGCGTGGTTGTGTCGCCCCCCGGCCGGTGGAAATTGCATCGAAAGAGGCAAAACGTCCTTGATGACGGGGCTTAGGACTGGGCCCATGGCATCATGTAAGCGTATATCCTTGAAAGCCACATTGAAGATCACTGCTTACAGGTAGAGATCACTGCTTACAGACAGGTAGCACAGTAGACATTCTGCTCTGCAAGCTGGCACATGGCGTTGACTCTAGGCCTTGCCGAGACAGACTCTTTTCAATACGCTAACCCGGCAGAGACACGACGCCTTCTTGTTCAGGTATAAGTTGAAAGCCAGTATCGTAAGACCAAGGCCCATGCTGTATGTGGCGAAGCATGCCAAGCACCACCTTTTCTGCCATTGAGCACCCTAGAAGCATTTTTCGGGCCTGTCAATGCTGGATGGGACACGGATCAAGTTCCACACAACAAGCTTCCGCCCCCAACCCAAGCATCAATCAATGCTAACCCCCACCTATGTCGTCCCCTCGTTTGGTATGCATCCTTCACTTTCTCATCATCGAGCCGAGGGACCTGACGGAATTAAAAAAGGCCAAAAGCGAGATTGTGCCTGCAGAATCAGAGAGCACCGCCCGATCCAGGGACAGGGGCTTGAGGCAACGCGCGAGTCGCGGCAGGATATTCCCCCACGGCCCCATAGACTTGATAGGCTTCGCTTCCGTCAATTCGGTAGATCTTCACCCAAAACTTCCATGCAAGGCCCCAAGGTTCAAGCCACTTCTTCAACCGGTGCTCTCTACCCCGGCCTCTTGGTACGAGTGGAGGAGGGTCGGGTAGCAATGGCACGACGAAGTAGGACGTGTCGCCCGTACGAGCTCAATGCCAAGAAGGTAGAGCAAGACTCGTCAAAAACGAACACCATGTGCCTTTGCTTCCAAAAAGTTTATCAAGTTCAGTCACCAGTGAGTCCCGAGGAGTCGGCACTGGAGGACCCTGCAGAACGTGGGCCGACTTAATCGTCATCACGTCGAGTCAGGGGCGGTTCGTCCCATTGTCTAAGATCACCAGCTCAACCCTACACACGTGTTGGAGTGGTAGCCCTGTAGCACAGCAATTGCAGATCTGCTCCCGAGAGAGATGCGGATGTTCACCTCAGGTCGAAACATGTGCCACCGCCACAGGAGTCGACCAGACATCAGCTGGTGTGGTATCCTTCTGACACCTCTAGCCTGCCGCTGTCGGTAAGTCGAAGCCCGCGCCCCGGATGACCCGGGCGCATCAGAAAGCCGCCACAGCGGGATTTGAGGATGTTTCTGCCGCTCGGGAGATACCCCAAACGGTCTTTAGCTTCGCTCTCTAGCGTGACATTCAGCCAGACCTCCGAAGCCCCTGCAATGATTCCACCATCTGGAAAGGCCAAGAAAGCAAGGGCTCCGACAGCGTCGGGGAAATGCAGGAATTGCTGCTGCAGGGCAAAAGTGTACATAGGGGCGTTGCTGATGAGGGGGGGGGGACATGAGGCTGTTCTTTCTGACCCAAATCATAAGATATATACCAGGGGTCCACACCAACTGCCGTTGAGTTCATCCGACTCAGACCGTCGTTCCTTTTACCGCCTGTTAAGTGTTGGTGCACGTCTGCGACGTGAAAGCCGTTTCGCTAATCTCTAAGTCTTCGTCTTGCTCCTACGTTACCTCAAACATTTTGCTTGGTCTGAGCTTACCTTCGCCATGGGGCCCTACGGTATGGGATTCCCCGACGACGGCCTCCCTAACCAGGGCTGGAAGCTGTACATCACATCACTCGTCATGATCATATCGGCTGGCCTGTTCGTGATCGCCCGATGCACGACGCGCTACTACTTTTTCAAACTGGGATGGGACGATCTTGCAGTTGTCGTGTCCTTGGTCAGTACAGCCACCAACATGACTATCGTGTTCCCGCCGAAGAGCCTCTATTGACTTTTGACCACGTAGGCCTCGTCCATCATTGTCTCCGTCGCCATGCAGCTTGCCATTGAAAACGGCTACGGCATGCACAAGCTCGACCTGCCCAAACCCCAGCTGCGCTACGCCCTGAAACTCTTCTTCATCGCCCAGACGCCCTACAAGGTGACCGTCTGCCTCAACAAGGTTGCCGCGATCCTGCTCTATCTACGCATCTTCGTCACGCAGAGCTTCCGGATCGCAGCCTTTGTCGTCATGGGCATCGTTGTCGCCTGGAGCATCGGCGGCGTTGGCGCCACCATCTGGCAATGCGTCCCCATAGCGGGCGCCTGGAACAAGGCCATCGAGGCGAAGTGCATCGACTCGAACAAGTTCTGGATCGCATACGCCGTCATGAACATCCTGACCGACGTTATGGTGCTCGCTCTGCCCATCCCATCCATCCTGGCTCTGCAGCTTGGCAAGCGCGACAAGCTGCTGTTGTGCGGCATCTTCATGCTGGGAGGCTTGTAAGTCATTGCTGCTCCTTCTGACCAGACGAGTCTCTCTATGGGTCCCCAAGCCTTGCTGACAGTGTCTTAGTGTTACCGTCACCTCGATCCTCCGGACGACTTCCGTGCAGAATTCGCTGAAGAACAAAGAGGACATTACATGGAACTTTATCGAGCGCGGCATGTGGACCCTCGTCGAGGCGAATCTCGGCATCATCAGCGCCTGTTTGCCTGTCCTCAAGCAGCCGTTGGCCAAGCTCTTCCCCCGCGTATTCGGTTCGACCCGCAAGAACACATACTACATGGCCGACGCGCCAAGCGGCCAGAAGGGTTACAACCTCTCCAATGTCAGCCGCCAGGATCAAAATCCCGGATTCTGGCGCGCCGGTGTGCGAAATCAGCAGCAAGTGTCCATTAGCGCGGGCAAGGAAACTTTGGATGGAAGGACGAGTGACGAGCAGTGCATTGTGCATGGGTCGCTAGGCGGCAGCGATAGTGATCTGGATATCAAGGTCAAGTGCCAGGAGGGAGGCGTACTGAAGAGGGTGGAAATGGTGAGGACTTCATATCACGAGGACCCTCGCATGGCATGACGGTCATTAAAATATTACAGCATTGGATGAAGGGCTGTCGTGAGACTGAATGATTTCGAAAGCTCATACCTCGAATAGGTGCTGAAAATGTGATCAATCGTGCTTGGTCCATCAAGTCCCGCTAGATAAGTGCCGGCTGCATTCCAGGAGGATGGTTTCCTTGCTTGGCTCACGTCAGAAAGAGCCCTACAGGAATGTGCCATGTCGGATCAACCTCCGTTGTTCAGGAGAGGGTCATCTGATAATGAATTCTCGGTCAATCGGTCACTTGGTGCGTTCTCGAGTCGTCAGGAAGAGTCTAGGCTGCCGGGTTTTCGGCCTCTCTTCTGGAGGCTTAAAGTCCTTTTATAAGGAGGTAGTGTGTTGTGGTGAACGAGTCCGTGGCCTTACATCCTATACCTTGCGGCCGAATTGCCAGCTCAACTTTGTTGCTGTCTACATTTGTTGAGCACTTCAACATGGGACTTTTCCACGTCCCGTTAATGATAGCGCTCGCTTTTGAGGTTGCGTCAGCATCGAATACCACCTGTGAATCTCTGGTCGCCCCCCATGTCGAAAATGCCACGGTGGTCGAATTCAACGCACGCACCATTCGGAGCAACATTTCAGAGATCTGCGAGGTCAACGTCTTCCTAACACACCTTGGCGCCGACGATCGAGTCAGGATCCAGCACTACCTACCGCTGAAGGGCTGGACAGGCCGTTATCAAGGCAACGGAGGCAGCGGTCTGATAGCAGGGCAATTCGACAACGAGATTGCCACGGCTGCGGCGAGGGGTTCCGTGAGCGGTGCGACTGATGCCGGCCTTCCTGCCAATGCATCCGACGGGTCTCTCTGGGCAGATGATGAGCAACTCATCCGGAACTTTGCCTTCTTATCCGTTCACGAGATGACACTCGTTGGGAAAGCTTTGGCCGAACAATTCTACAGCACGCCTGTGAGGCACGCGTATTGGAGCGGTTGTTCTACCGGCGGCAGACAGGGCTACATGGAAGCACAGCGATATCCGAATGACTACGACGGCATTCTTGCTAGTGCACCAGCGATCAACTATGCAAGTCTCCGCATTGCGCAGCTATACCCGTTCTTCGTCCAAGCAGCTGCTGGGGAGTTTGCGCCGCCTTGCGTGTGGGAAAGTTTCGGGAATGCTTCGATCAAAGCTTGCGATAGACTTGACGGTGCTGACGATGGAGTCCTTAGCGACCCAAGCGAGTGCCTGTATATTTTTGATCCGGAGAGCCTTGTCGGAGAGCAAATTGACTGTACAGGCAACTCCAGTCCCACAAAGATAACCGAGAAACACGTCGCCATGTGGCGCAACATAACGACTGGACCAGTCTTCCCAAATGGCACCAGGGCATTTCATGGCATCGCACCGGGCACCAGCTTTAGGACGTTGGCACAGACTTCACCAGCGTCCATCAGCAGTACCTGGGTGCGCGACTTCATTATGCGTAACAGCTCCTTCGACCTAAGGACTATTGCACCGAGCGATGCACACGCGCTGCTGGCTCTGTCGAATGACCTGTTTCAAGACATCATTGGAACGGACGACCCAGACCTGAGTGGCTTTCGCGACGCTGGAGGCAAGTTGTTGTCATGGCACGGATGGAGCGATGAGTCCATCTTTGCCAATGGGACCATCGACTACAGACTACGGGTTCAGGACAGAATGGGTGGCGCAGGAGCCGTAGACGACTTCTTTCGGCTGTTCATGGCTCCAGGTGTAGAGCACTGTGATGGAGGAAGCGGCGCGGTCCCTAGCGAAGAAATGGCCCAGTTGATCGATTGGGTCGAACACGGCAAGGCACCGGAGATGTTGATTGCCAAGGGGAGCAATGGTCAAGGTCGGAATCTGTGCCTCTTTCCGAAGAACATAAAGTTCACTGGGAACGGAGACATCGATGATGCCGAGAATTGGAGTTGTGAATGAAGCTGAGAGCCCAGAAGACCCCAGGATCGTTTGACAGACAAAGCGTAAATTTAGATGCCGATATCATTTGATGACTGTACTGCGGGAGCAGCCGGACAAGACGGGGTCCAGTTCCCGGTTCCGAAGGATTGACCAAGCGGGCCGTGCGGGGGCTGCTAATGAATGCCCGAAGTGGAAATCCGGTCGTCCGCGATCATAGCTGCTTAGTGCCTATACAAGCTATCTAAACCTGCAGAAGCCCTTTGTCGAAGTTCAAGCCGAGGAGCAGTATAACGCAGGACACGGTCTGTTTAACTTTCTAACACTAGCCATCGCCGAGATGGACATGAGCTGCTGTTGAATGATATGTACCAATTTAGCTCATACTTTACTGCAGCCGGACGTCACGATCGCTAGGATTATCTGGGGCACTAGTCGGCTTTGCCATGACAGCTAGAACCTACGCCGAGACTCCAAGTTTGTCGGACAGGCGGCAATTCGGACGTAGCAGACCAAAAGAGCTCTGATATTTGATCCTTCTGCTCTAAATGTGGACATGGTGATATCATTTGATGGCTGCAAAGTGTTCGAAAGTGAAGCTCGAGTTTGGTAAGTCCTATGTTTAGTCCCTGTGCCCACAGTCCTCGCTAACCGCGGGTCTTGATACGTCTTGCATTGAAAGGTGCGGAATCTACCAAGAGGCGAAGGATAGTTAGGAAGCTTGGCCAACGTTCAATGAGAAATAGAGTGGCATAGGGCTTCAAGGAAGCTTGGCTCCCCATAGAAGCATGCCCACGGGCTGACCCTGTCCAACGGGTAGAGGTAAATGACGTGCGAAGTTGACAACGCGGACGACAATTTTCCCAGGCCCAAGTCAAAAGAAAATACAGTCTTACGCACAAGGCAGAACGCATTAAAATGTGGGTCAAAAGCATGAGAAGGAAGCTGGGCAGACGTCTCTCGTGCTTGGCTTGACTGTTTTGGCTGCAGATCTCGGTCCATCCGTGAGAGCCAAGAGTTCCTGCACCAAATCTAGGTAAACCACACGTGATAACAGGTAACGACAGTTCAAATTCGTTGTTGACTGTGCAAATAGTGACAGAAAGGATTAACGGTCGGCCTTTAAAGGAGATCATGAGCGTGTATAAATAGGGTTGCCAGCGCCGACCAGTTCTCCATCATCTTCATTCTGCATCTCATCTCATCACACAGTATTCCATCCCAGAGCCTGATTCATACATTAAAAGACGTCCAAACTCGATAGAAAAGCAAACCTCAAACTTCAAGATACACTTCAAAATGGTTACCCTGACTCACGCCCTTGCAACCTTCGCCACGGTGGCCACTGCCTATGCTCTCCCCTCTAAGTAAGACGCCTCGCCGGGTATTTCTTTCGATATTCACTTACCAATACAAAACTTCAGGGCCATTACGTCGCGCCAAAGCCACCCAGTTGACTTCGTTGCCGCCTGTGAAGGCTACCGCCCGGCCCCCGATGAGTGGGGTGTCGTCGCAGCGGGCGGCGTCACCGTGGAATGGTCTGGCAGCAACCTTGGGAACGGCGCTTCCGACCGGATGGTCATCATGTTCGACTCCAACTGTAACATGATCGGAAGCGATGAGTGGGTTCCTCGCAGCCCCGGCTTCTCGAAGCTTTTCCACATCACGGCCGGCAAGTACGAAGGTGACGAGGTTGAGTTTAAGAACGGATGGATCGGCATTCACAACGTCGGAGAGACTTCCGTCTACTGGAACGGCGAGCGGATCGACTCTTGGTGTGATGACAACCGCACCGGTATGGATGGCCTCAATGCTGGCTACTGGAGGACCTGTAACTTCAGGACCCCTTAAGGAGAATTTCGCGATTGTCAAAGCACTTGGAGGAGAATTTGGGGTTTCAAAATTGGAAGCCATGCAATAGGGGCTTCTGACTACAACGTCGGGTCGACAACATAAATCATTTGGACATATGAGGCCTGTACTTTTAGCTACGCTCGTTCAACTTGGAAATTTGTATCTGACCATAGTTGTCACTGGAAAGTCCGATGATATTACATTTCCAAGTTATTTTCCTAGTGACGCAGGAATACAGGAATGTTTTACTGTTTTGTTTGCTGGGAACGGTGGAATCATAACATCAACATAGTATGATGGAACTCAGTTCATGGCCTTGAACGGTGATCGGCGCTCCCAATTGTTCTAAGTTTGGTTATTTTTCTGCAATCATCAAGGAAGCTTCGAGCGGATGACAACAATTCAGGACAGTACCTCAGAGATGGTAATCTACATGACCTGAACCACACCATCCGGCAACTGTGTCATTCACTGGCCGGCCGCCTCGCCACCAGGCAACCGCGTTCTGAAGCCTATAGGCCCCAGTAACTACCTCTTTCCCAACAAGGACCCCTACAGCGTGACGCATGGTGTAGTGGTCCTAGAGGTCAACCTAAATAAGTACCCGAGAATCGCATGCCTCTAGTTGCGAGGGCGCGCAGGCCTTAAAGCGCGTGGAGGGGTTGTTGGATCGAAGCCGGCACTCGGCAAAGGAGAAATCCTTGTGATTTCTTTTTTTTCCTTGCAAAGACCACATCCTTGATCTAATTAATGGCCGAAATTCTTGACAGACTCCGATCTTGTAAGCTGGCTACACTGAGCTGAGAAAGCTCAACTGTGCTTGGCAGATTTTAACGTATGAATGCACCTATGACCTTCTGACTATTTGATTCAACGCACTTGCAAACCGATTAACATTGGCATCATTCAGGCCTGCAATGGAGATTCGAGACGTGTCCGCCATGTACACATGAAACTCGTCTGGCACAGGTCAGTCCAGTTTCAGCGGCATGCAGGACATATAGACCATGCTGAAATCTCACCTTCAAGAAGCTGCACTTGAGCTCGGCTGATGCCAATGTATCCAAACATGCCACTCTGCTTGACCAAATGGGACCAGTCACCAGGCGTCTGGAGCCTCACCAGCTCATCGAAAAGCGCCTGCCGCATCGTCCGTATCCTGTCAGACATGGTAACAAGGTCTTTGGCCCACTGTTCTCTGATCTCCGGCGTCTCGAGGACCGTCGCGGCGATTCTCGCGCCGTAGACTGGCGGATTGGACACCGTCGCGCGCTGGACGTTCTCGAGGATCGACGCCACGGCACGCGCCACCTCCGAGTCACGCAACACGAACGAAACGAGACCGACACGCTCGCCGTAGAGACCCATGTTCTTCGCAAAGGAGAGGCAGACGGCAGCCTCGAGGCCCAGGTCCTCGACGAAGTACCGAATCGCCCACGCGTCCTTGTCGACGGAGCCAGAGTTGAAGCCGAGGTACGCGGCATCAAACACGGGGAAGACGCCGCGCTCGATGAGTACGTCGGCGATCGCCTTCCACTGCTCGGCTGACGGGTCGCAGCCCGTGGGGTTGTGGGCGCAGGCGTGCAGGATGACGGCCGAGGATGGCTCGGCGGCTTTCAGGGCGGCGATGTAGGCGTCAAAGTCGAAAGCGCCGTCCTTGTAGTAGGGCAGCTTCTTGACCTGAAAGCCCTGGGAGGCAAAAAGCAGGTCGTGGTTGGACCAGGTCGGCTCGGTGATGTAGATGTTTTTGATGCCGCTGCTGCGCTTGAGGGCCAGGCCTGCCAAGAGAAGGGCGCCGGTGCCGGAAAGGGCCTGGCAGGAGGCGATCTGCGTGATTCGGTGAGTGGAAGGTCAAATGTGTTGGGTTGTATATGGTTGCTCACGCGGTCTTCGTTGAAGGCTTTTGTACCCGAGAAAACGAGCTTTGTCGCCTCGTCTCGGAGAGATTTCAGCCCGGCGATGGGCAGGTATTCATGACCGACACTGCCGATTTTCTCCTTTGCCAACTTGACTGATGGAAGAATCCATGGCTGGCCGTTCTCGTCACGGTATGTACCTTGGCCAAGATTGATCTTGTTGGCGTCTGTGTCGGCGAGATATCGCCTCGTTACGTCGAATATGGCATCGGGGGGGATATATTCGGCGGCCTGGAAGGCCGATTGCCGCGCCGCAGTCATTTCGAGACGTGTTTGAAGGCTTCGTTTGCAAAGAGTGTAGGATGGTGGCACACAGGAGCAAGAAATTGTGACGCGGCGAGGCTTGATCAGTCGGACATCGGTTTGTGACCCTATGCCTCAGATGTGGAGGGGTCGTTCGGAACAAGACCCGAAGTTGGGAGGGTCCTTCGGCAGCGATCCCGACACTATCATTGTCGGACCCGCGTCTGCCCCGCACGCCCCGTCTAAGGCTTTATGGTCACCGGCATTGCGCCAATCGCCGTGTATCTGATTGTGTAATGGTGCGGCCATGGCAAGAGTATCGGAGGAGCAGCCGGTCTGGCGGGGGCGGTGGACGAGCTGTCAGACCAGTAGGTTGCTTGCGTCGGATGAGACAGGTCACGTCGTTCATAAAGAGGCGTCTCCCATGATGCTCCGGTGACGACTAACAGCTCAACATTACAAGACTCACTCATTGCACCGGACAGCATCCTTTCAGTAACATACTCATCGCATTCATCCCTTTCTATCTCGCTGACAGTCTCCCGCCCTCGTTCTTCCAACCAGAGAGCCACCATGGCGCAAACCTTTACCCCCCCGCCGTTCGGCATCTACACACCAGCCGTCACCTTCTTCGCAGAAGACGAATCGATCGACTTTGGCGCGACAGAACAGCACCTCTCCCGCCTCCTCGACGCGGGCGTGACAGGCCTCGTGATCCACGGCAGCAACGGCGAGGCAACGCACCTGCTACCGGAGGAAAAAGTCGAGGTCATCAAGGTCGCGCGCCGGCTCATCAGGGAGAAGGGGTCCAAGGCGACCATCATGGCGGGCTGCAGCGCCAACAGCGTGCGCGAGACGGTGCAGGCGCTGCGTGCGGCCCACGCCGCAGGCGCTGACCACGCGCTCGTGCTGCCGCCCAACTACTGGGCCGCCGCCATGACCAAGTCGGTGCTCAAGAGCTACTTTCTCGATGTCGCCGCGCAGTCGCCGCTGCCGATCGTGCTGTACAACTTCCCCGGCGTGCGGTCGGGCATCGACCTCGACTCGGATATCATTGGCGAGCTCGCGCGCGAAGCGCCACAGATTGTCGGCGTCAAGCTGACGTGCGGCAACATTGGCAAGCTGCAGCGGCTGTCGGCCGAGTTTGATGCCGCGCGGTTTGCGCCGCTCGTCGGCAAGGGCGACTTCTTGCTGCCGGGGCTCGTCGTAGGTGGCCAGGGGGCCATTTCGGCGCTGGCGAACGTGGTGCCGAAGCTGCACATCGAGCTCGTGCGGTTGTATCAGGCCGGAGAACTGGCCAAGGCGCAGGAGATTCAGAAGCTGTTGTCCGTGGCGGACTGGGCGCTGCAGAAGGGAGGTATTTCGGGCGTCAAGGCGGCGGTCGGCAAGTGGTATGGCTATGGCAACCCCCGAGCAAGGGCACCGCTGCCGACGGTGTCCGATGCCGTGTTTGCGGCGGGTGTCGATGCCATCCAAAAGGTGGTTGACCTTGAGAATAAATTGTGAAGTTGCATCACTTGGTTAGTTGTACAGACGAGACGGATGTAGTGGGCAGTGATGAGAGACCATCGCCTTCTAAGATGACGGAAGTGGGTGAGAAACAGCATTCGGGGTATCAAACAATGGATTCATGCTCATGCTTCTATCATTCCTGCGTCCTCCGCGCTGATCCTACTTCTTGACTGACTTGCCCTCGTTAGACGACCAAAAGTCCTTGCTGACCTTGTCCTGCTCTGGTGCTGCAGCAGCTGCCTCTCGCGTGGCCTCAAACTCCTTGTTGTGCTGGTCGACTTCCTCTTGCTGTTCCTTCGTCAGGCCCTTGTCCTTGCCCTGGGGCAGCGCGCCGCTGTCAACCTTGGGCGGCCTGGGCGCGTTCTGGGAGCTTTCGAGGCCATCGCCGCCACCTGTTCGACCGCGAGCGTCGCTGTCTGCGAGACTGTCGTCAATGGCGGATCCGCCAAGATGTTTCGTCGGAGGCTCGTCGGCAAAGGTGGCTGTCCGGGTGACAGGCTGAAGAGAAGGGGCAAAGGCCGAGGGCCGCAAGATGCTCGCTACGGCAGGCTTCGTCAGGTGGATGGCCGTGGGCCGCAGGCGAAGGAGGGATCTGTTCATGTTTCTCGGCGCTGGTGTTTGAATGAGATATGGTGTTGTTTGTTGATTTGGTTGTGTAGCTGAAGACTGAGGCTCGTTGATAGGTACGTTGTCGAGGCAGACACACTTTGTGATGAAGACTGGCAGCAGAAGGGATGATGTAGAATCCAGATTCGAAGCAGGAGTCAATTACCATGGCGCCTGAGATATAAAGGCAGCTGCCCTGGTCCCTTATCGAATGGCAGGTGCTCACTGTCGTCACTGCCATCCCATCATGATGACGATGTCGGGCCCATTGGCGTCTGTCATTGGTGGAGGGGCGTTTACTCCTGCCTCGCCGACATTGCGCCAGCAGTGGCCCTGATCGACACTCGTCATAGGTCTCAGGCCGACTGGTAGAATACTGGGCTCATCGGAGGGCTGCATTGACAGTCATCTCTCCAGAGCTTGCCATTCACTGCCCGACATCTCTACAGAGTTCGCCGTCTCCAAGTTGATTGTGTTCCGACGACTCCCGATTCGAGAAAGCATCGTGGCTATGGGTAGTGATATCAATATAATCTCCTATGAGATTGGAATAATGAACGCCAATTTATCGCCAGAATGTTGTACAATTTATTGCCTATACAGACTGGCAAATGATTGCCCGATGCATGCAACACTCGACTGTCAATCTCGTCCGTACATGCAGCATCACACAACTAGCCTTCAGGCGACGGCCTCAGCGGTGGCTGGAAATTGTCGAGATACGACCACAAGACCTTGATCCTGGCGCCCTCCGCAACAATGACATTGCCACCCAGTTGAGACGGCGCCTGCCTGGGGTCCCCCTCAGTCCCTTCTGGCACGACCCTCCAGCGCGACGTAGCCATGTTCTGGCAGACCTTGATGTCTTCGGCGGGGCTGTGGACGGTGCCATCCTGCTGGTTCATCACGATGGTCGAGTGCGCAAGCACGCCGTCGTGTCCGTGGTGCGCACTGCCATCCGAGTCAAACCAGACAGCGTCGGGGGCGAAGATTGCCTCGATGGCCTTGAGGCGGACTTGTGGGTTGTTGATCGAGAGGAAGGTAATGGAGCGTGTTGTCAGGGTGAACATCGTGTCCCTCTCGGGAAGCGATGCCAGGGAGATGGCGATGTGGTCTGGAGCAGACATGGTGATGCCCTACAAGGTGGACGGAAGAAGAGGAGTAAGGCTGGGCTCTGTTTTCCTGCACTTTGCTCTCTGCTGCTTCTTTTGCTGGGCTGTCCACCATGCTCTTGTACTTCACCAGACAGACAGATGTTTTGACACATGATGGCACCTAGCTCACCTGCGATTCACATGGGCGAGGGTGTTGAGGCATGTAAGATCCAGCTGAATAGGCCTTACGAGAACGAGCCACGGACACCCCGCCCTGAGTCAGCAACACGGCAACGTGCAAAAGGATTCGTAGATATTGCCAAGATTGCTGCGACTAGTGCTGTTGAGCAACGATGCTGAACAGAGGCTGGCTGGCTGGCCGGAGGTGTGGCGGCTGACTGCTGCAGGTTGGTGCTCCAGCTTCCCCTCCGAACCCTTTGGGGCACGCATACAGAAGGTATCTTGAGTACCTTAGGTACCTAACCCAATATCGACCAATCGGCATGTGACTGGAGCGAGCGGCAACTTGCAAGAACAAACAACCAATTCATGATAAGGAGCATACTCTTCTGGCTTCGCCCACGGCGGCAGTGACGAACGAGGTTGAGCATCCCAAGCACGCACCTCACTAGGACTTCCAAAGGGAGGTCCAAAATGCTGGCAAACGGGCCCCTGGATGCACGGCAGACATGGGCAACCCCTGGAGCCGGGCGCCAGCGGCTGAGTGGAGTGCCTTTCAGCAGTCTACCCCGCAGTTCTAGCGCTGAACCCGCTGTACATGGGCTTTTTCTCGCCGAAACCCCCCTGAAGCTTGCCAGCGGCTTTCCACAACGCCCATTGGTGAGGCCGACGTGCGAGGCATCACCTGTTCGAGATTCCTTCAACTACCATATGCCCCAGCCGGTATTCCCGCGCCATTGACAGCTCCCCTAAACCGCAGGCGTGCTTCACGATATGGCGACTGGATGCAGACGGAGGGAACATGATGGGTTCCGGAACATAAAGGGGTTCCTTCGAGTCCTCGACGAGACCACGATAGCCTCTCCTTCCTCCTCAACCGCTCCTCGACCAGGAACTGCTCGACCAGGAACCTGAGCAAGAGCATTGATCGCCATCATCATCATCATCATCATCATCATCAACACCATCATCGCATTACCACACGACATCAACATGCTCCAGGCAATCGACGACAAGCTCGTCTTCACGTTCGATGCCGAGACGCTCTGGATCCAGCCATGGGGTGCCAACGCCCTGCGCATCCGCTCGACCCGCGCTCGGGAGATGCCCGACGAGGATTGGGCCCTGCTGAAGCCGGCCGCAACGACGCCCAAGATTACCATTGACGAGCAGAGCGGTGGCACGCTCGAGAATGGCAACGTCAAAGCCTCCATCACCAAGGCAGGCAAAATTACTGTACATAATGCAAAGGGCGATCTGCTGCTTGAGGAATACACCCGCGCCCGCAAAGATGTCCGCGACCCCAAGTGCAGCGCCCTCAATGTCGAGGCGCGCGAGTTCAAGCCCCTCGCCAACAGCGACAGCTACCACCTGACTGCTCGTTTTGAATCCGTCGATCCAGACGAGAAGCTTTTCGGCATGGGCCAGTACCAACAGCCGTTTCTCGACCTCAAGGGCCATGACCTCGAGCTCGCCCACCGCAACTCGCAGGCCTCTGTGCCTTTTGCCTTGAGCTCCCTCGGCTACGGCCTGCTTTGGAATAACCCGTCCATTGGCAGAGCGTTTCTCGGCCGCAACATCATGTCCTTTGACGCGCGATCCACGACGACGCTAGACTACTGGATCGTCGCCGGTGACACGCCCGCCGCCATCGTCGAGGCCTACGCTGACGCGACGGGAAAGGTCCCATTAGCACCCGAATTCATGCTGGGATTTTGGCAGTGCAAGCTCCGCTATCAGACCCAGGAGGAGCTTCCTCTCCGTGGTCCGCGAGTACCGCCGCCGCGAGCTCCCCATTGAC